TCTGAGGCTCTAGGCACTCGAGAGATGTCCCTCCTCCCAAGGCCCAGGGCCCTGCCAGGAAAATCTCTGAAAAGATGGTGTTCACTGTGAGGGTCAGAGTGTGTGGAGTGGGGGTGTGAGGGGGGCGGCTCCCTCCAGACGCAGGGCGACCCCTGCTAGGTGCTCTCCGGTGAGGACCCCGCATGGGCGCTGCTCGGCCTCCCATCCCTGGCCGGTCTGGGATGGTACCCTCCGTCTGTCGGTCAGGCCGCCGGGCGACCCCGCATGGGCGCTGCTCGGCCTCCCATCCCTGGCCGGTCTGGGATGGTACCCTCCGTCTGTCGGTCAGGCCGCCGGGCTCGGATAGCCAGGGATTTGTCAACAGAGGCCATCCCTGCGGGCGGGGTCCCTGCCAGGCCCCTCCTGCGGCCTCACACCCCAGCCCGCAGCGTGGAGGCCAGCAGGGAGTGTCGCGTCCCTGTTCTCGGGGTGCCTGCTCTGGGCCCCTCTTCGTGCAGCTGAGCGGTGGAGGCAGCTCAGTGACACCGGTCTTCACAGCGTGAGTCCCCCCCGCCCCCCCCCCCACCAGGGACCGTGATGTGGCCCAGCCCCCTGGCCACAGACCCCCTGCCCCGGCCCCCGCCAGCACAGTGGCCTCCTGGGCCTCCGGCAGGCCCGGCCACCCAGAGGGCCCAGAGCCCGAGCAGGGCCAGGCTCACCAGGGCTCTGGCCTCCCATGTGTCTGCGTGTGCCGTGCTCTGCATCCACGTGCACATGTGTGCGTACGTGTGATGGGGAAGGAGACTGAAAGGACGTCCGCGGACGCTGGCGGCCAGGACCCGGGCCCTCCCTGGGGGGCGAGGCTGCTCCGGTTCCCTGACCCGCGGGGCCGCTGGCCGTCGGTGTCTGGGGCTTTGTGCTCCGTGACGCGTCAGTGCCCAGCGTCGGGCCCAGAGCCCCCACAGGCTGACTTGTGAGTGGGGCGCATGGGGTGGGCTTCGCCCTCCACCCTGAGAGGCAGGTCTGGGCGGCAGTCTCGTGGGGAAGCAGGGACTGGTCCTCCAGAGCCCAGTCCCACGTGAGCAGCCCGAGCCCGGGGCCTCCGAGAAGGCCGCGTGTGCACACCCATGTCCTGGGCTGGAGGCGGGTGGAGGCTGGGCGCAACCAGGCTGCTCAGACCTGAGAGGAACATGGAACCTCGTCCAAGGTCTGGGCCTCTCCAGTCTCACTCTCTGCACCTGCAGTGCTGCCCAGAGCGGGGCCCCCGGAGCGAGGCTGCTGTCCTCCCCCAGGTGGGGCAGGACGGGCCTCCCTGCGGAGGGGTCCCCGGATGCCAGTGGCCATGCGTGGGTGGGCAGCCGACGGTCCTCACGCTGCAGGCACCGCGTTTAGATCCCGCGGGACGGGCTTCCTGTCCGAGCTGTCTCCGGCAGCCCCTCGCTCTGGCCCTGGGGCGTGCTGGCTGCTGGCGGGGGGACGGCGGCCACAGCCAGTTGGCCTCTTTGTGCCCCGGCCTTGTCTCCGATTTCACGCTATCACAGGGTCCGCATGTTTCCTGCGTGAGGTTGTCAGGGGATGAAAGCCCCGGCGCGAGGCGCATGGAGGCCACCAGCGGGCCCCACGGCCAGCCTCCCCCCGCCCCAGCCCCCGCCTGTAAGTGTTCCGAAGGGCCAGCCTGCAGCAGGGACCTGCGCTTTCTTCAAACCAGCTCCTTCCTCTTCCCCGGGCAAGAAGGAGATCCATCCCTCAGAGGCTGAAACAGGCTGGAGGGGCTCGCCCGCCCTCCGCGGGGCTGAAGATGGGGCGGGACGGGGCCGGCCCGCATCCTCTGGACGCACGGCTCCATTTCAGGCAGTGGACGGGCCCCAGCTTGGTGGAGCTGCGTCTAGTCCGTGGGCCACAGAGCGCGGCTGGCCTCCCGGGGGGCCGCCGGCTGTCATTCCCGCGGGTCCACGTCCGGGGAGGCACCCGAGGCCCTGCGGGGCTGGGCGCCACAACTTCAGGAAGCTGCTGTCTGGTGACTTCTTTGAGGGCCAGTTTACTTTCCATTTGATGGAAAAAAGTTAATCCCCAAAGGTCTTAGAAGCTGAGTGACCTGGGCAGGGGTGAGGGCGCCGTGGGTGCACCTCCCACACCCTTGATGGGGAGAGGCCTCCACCAGTGGCGGGCAGGCCCCACCGTGAGGGTGCTGGACCCCATGGGCACCCAGCCCCTGTCCGCAGTGAGAGCATCCCCACACACCGTGTCCTTAGGGTCACACATGAGCAGAGAAGGCACGAGGAAGGAGCCGGAGCCGGGCTGCCTCTGGGGCCAGACTACTTGGGGGCTCATCTGGTTCGTTTGAGCCCTTGCCCCATCGGGGGGGGCAGTCACACCCCACCCCCCACCCCCCACCCCCCACCCCCCGCTGAGCCTGAACCAGCCTCCCTCTGAGCACCCCGACACATCGGGACCCCAGACAGTGATCCCACTCGCTCTCCTGAGGCCGCCGCCCAGGCCTGACGGGGCCCCATGCCCGGGCGCAGGCCTGGTGGGGGCGCTGAGCTCAGAAAGCACAGGGTGAATCTGCACAGAGACCATGGTGCCCCCACATCGGGTTCCAGGAGGGGCGCTGCTTGGCTGCTGGTCGCCTGGCTGTGCCCAGCTGTCCCGGAGACCCGGGTGCTCCGCGGAGGCTCCCAGAAGCCGGGAACGTGGGGCCTGGGGGGTCTGGTTGCAGGAAGGGCGCCCCTGGCTCTAATACCCAGTCTGGTCAGGACAGGTCAGGGGCGAAAGCATCCTCTGAGCCCAGCCCCCTCGCGGGCAGCCCTGTGGGGCCCGGGGCGGGGTGAGCACCCTGGTCTCGGCCTGCGTGGGGCCCCTACCAGGCTCCCTGCTCTGTTAGCTCTGTCACAGTCTCCCCGACACCCCCAGCCCCAGGCGTGCCCCGCATGCACGCTGTGTGTTCTGTATGCCAACCACAGATGCCCGCCTGCCTAACCTCTTCAGGTCCTTTGGAAACTTGGGGTGCAGAGGACCCCCTCCTGCGGTCCAGTGTCCTGGATGCAGACAGAAGCAGGGTCTGCGGAATCAGAGCCATAACTGGTCTAAAACCTGGCAGGACGTCGTAAACACAGACTGAGACAATATTTTAACACGCGCTGTCTCTTGGCGTGCACACGTAAGAGCCTCGCCACTTTTCCTGACCGCCTAGAGACTCCGTGCTTGTAGCGAGGAAACAGCTGGTGTGCCTCCAACCTCTGCACACCAAAGCTCACTGCACACTCTTCCCAAGAGACGCTTCTCGACCCAGAACACAGACCCCCCAGGTCAGGCCTTACTCTGACCAGGACGCTCCTGACCAGCTCCTGGCTGACCCCGGGGCGGTGGGCCCCCATCCTCGGGTGTGGGGCTGGTTGTCCACCCCTCGGCCCCTCCGTCTGACAGAGATCAGAGCAGGTTCTGTAAGGCCACACTCACGGGCTCACCTCCTGGGGCCCGAGGGGCTCCGCCTGCACTGAAATTCGGACCCGGGGGTGGGAGGCCGCGTTTGTGCCAGGGAAGGGGAGCAGGCCAGCCACGCAGGAAGAACACCACGGGCTGCCTTTCCAGCCCCGCCGTCCTGGGGGCCCTCATGGCGCCCATCCTTGGCAGCAGCTGCATCGCCAAATTCCAAGCGAAAAGCCTGGGGCCCCGAGTGCCAGTCAGACATCCTCGCGTCACCCTCCGGGGCCTCCGTGCGGCTACTGATAACGAAATAAACCTCAGATGGTTCTTCAAAAACAGCATTTGGGGAATTTTTTTCTCCTTTGAAAAGAGGAAAATGCCTCTGTAAAGGGAGCCGGAAAGGCCCTGCCCTGGGCTTTCTGCTCCAGCGGTCACGGCTGCAGCTGAAAGGGGCGGGTGTGGGAGCGGCCGAGTGCGAGGGGCCGGCCAGGCAGATGTGTATCCGCTGGGAGCCCGTGCGAGGGGGAGCGATAAAGCGGTTTTTTTAAGAAGTTTGCAGCAGCCGCCTTTGGGTGAAGACTATGCGTTTCCTCTGAGTAAGCCGTCTGCCGGCGCCGGGCCTCCCCATTCACCGCTCTTAAGCCCCTTAGCACATTAGCATCTGGATGGCGCGGCCTCGAGGGCTGGCGGGCGCGCCCAGGCCGGGTTGCTGGGGCCCTTGTTCTAATCCGGCTGTTTGAAGGCGGCCAGACTGATTTGTGACACATGAGTCCAAAAGCCACTTCGGGGGCTTGACCTGATTAGCTGTGTGTGCCCTGAATGCCAATGCCTGCCCCCCGACAGTGCCGGCCACCCGGGCCTGAGCCCCGCGCTCCACCCCAAGGTGACCCCACGGGCTCCTCGGGTGAAAGGGTTTCTTCAAGTCAACATCAGTTGTTCTGTTGCGGCAGTCTGTCTTCTTTATCTTTTTCATAAAAACCATGGAAAAAAAACCAAAACCAGTTCCACTGAGGTATAACTTACACACAGAGCAAAATCCGGTTCTGGCCCCTGGCCCCCGCGGCCTCTCTGTGTGGACCCTGCAGACGGACAGTTCCGAGGGAGCTGCGTGGCCCCAGGTCTTCGCCAATACGTCTCCGAGCCTGGCCATCTCTCAGCCCCTCCCAAGCGGCTCTTTGTCTCCACTGCACCCGGGTCTGGCCAGTGCAGCCCTGCACCCCCGACCAGGCTCTGGCTTCGTCCTGACTTTGGGGAGGGACCCCGTTTACCTTCCTGCTGTGGCCTGTCCTGGCCCCACGCCCAGGGTGGGGCAGGGCCAGGTGTACCTGCTGGGAGGCCGGGCCCCTCCCTTCCCCCCGCCATGGCCTCTTCTTCCTTGACGCCCTCCAGGCCCTGCCTGGCTGCCCTTCACCGTCGTGGCCGTGGGGGCCTCCTGGACCTCTGGGTCCACAGAGCAGCCTGGACGGAGGGCAGAGGGGCCGGCCGGGCGGTCGGGAGGAGTGAGCCCCCAATCCAGCTGGACAGTGAGGGCAGAGGAACCGGGTCGGGCGGCCAGGCGGCAGGTCTCCGACCGAGTTCCTCCGTGTCTTTCCCAGACTCTCTGCACAAAGGCCACAATGCAGACCGTCCGGGCTGCGGACACCAACGAAGTCGTGAAGCTGATATTCCGCGAGTCAGACAACGACCGGAAGGTGGGCGCGGAGGGTGCGGCAGGCGCCCTGGGGAGGCCCCTGCTCTGAGCCCCCTCCCCACCATGGCCCCGCCCTGGGGAGGCCCCCTGCTCTGAGCCCCCTCCTCCCGTGGCCCCGCCCTGGGGAGGGCCCCTGCTCTGAGCCCCCTCCCCACCATGGCCCCGCCCTGGGGAGGCCCCTGCTCTGAGCCCCCTCCCCACCATGGCCCCGCCCTGGGGAGGCCCCCTGCTCTGAGCCCCCTCCCCACCATGGCCCCGCCCTGGGGAGGCCCCCTGCTCTGAGCCCCCTCCTCCCGTGGCCCCGCCCTGGGGAGGGCCCCTGCTCTGAGCCCCCTCCTCCCGTGGCCCCGCCCTGGGGAGGCCCCCTGCTCTGAGCCCCCTCCCCACCATGGCCCCGCCCTGGGGAGGCCCCCTGCTCTGAGCGCCCCCCCCCCCACCATGGCCCCGCCCTGGGGAGGGCCCCTGCTCTGAGCGCCCCCCCCCCCCCATGGCCCCGCCCTGGGGAGGCCCCCTGCTCTGAGCGCCCCCCCCACCATGGCCCCGCCCTGGGGAGGCCCCCTGCTCTGAGCCCCCCCCCCACCATGGCCCCGCCCTGGGGAGGCCCCCTGCTCTGAGCCCCCCCCCACCATGGCCCCGCCCTGGGGAGGCCCCCTGCTCTGAGCCCCCCCCCACCATGGCCCCGCCCTGGGGAGGCCCCCTGCTCTGAGCCCCCCCCACCATGGCCCCGCCCTGGGGAGGCCCCCTGCTCTGAGCCCCCCCCCCACCATGGCCCCGCCCTGGGGAGGCCCCTGCTCTGAGCCCCCCCCCCACCATGGCCCCGCCCTGGGGAGGCCCCCTGCTCTGAGCCCCCTCCCCACCATGGCCCCGCCCTGGGGAGGCCCCTGCTCTGAGCCCCCCCCCCCACCATGGCCCCGCCCTGGGTAGGCCCCCTGCTCTGAGCCCCCCCCCCACCATGGCCCCGCCCTGGGGAGGCCCCCTGCTCTGAGCCCCCCCCCCACCATGGCCCCGCCCTGGGGAGGCCCCCTGCTCTGAGCCCCCCCCCCACCATGGCCCCGCCCTGGGGAGGCCCCCTGCTCTGAGCCCCCCCCCACCATGGCCCCGCCCTGGGGAGGCCCCCTGCTCTGAGCCCCCTCCCCACCATGGCCCCGCCCTGGGGAGGCCCTCTGCTCTGAGCCCCCTCCTCCCGTGGCCCCGCCCTGGGGAGGGCCCCCTGCTCTGAGCCCCCCCCCCACCATGGCCCCGCCCTGGGGAGGCCCCCTGCTCTGAGCCCCCTCCTCCCGTGGCCCCGCCCTGGGGAGGCCCCCTGCTCTGAGCCCCCTCCCCACCATGGCCCCGCCCTGGAGAGGCCCCCCTGCTCTGAGCCCCCCCCCACCATGGCCCCGCCCTGGGGAGGCCCCCTGCTCTGAGCCCCCTCCCCACCATGGCCCCGCCCTGGGGAGGCCCCCTGCTCTGAGCCCCCCCCCCCACCATGGCCCCGCCCTGGGGAGGCCCCCTGCTCTGAGCCCCCCCCCCCACCATGGCCCCGCCCTGGGGAGGCCCCCTGCTCTGAGCCCCCTCCTCCCGTGGCCCCGCCCTGGGGAGGCCCCCTGCTCTGAGCCCCCTCCCCACCATGGCCCCGCCCTGGAGAGGCCCCCTGCTCTGAGCCCCCCCCCCACCATGGCCCCGCCCTGGGGAGGCCCCCTGCTCTGAGCCCCCCCCCCCACCATGGCCCCGGCCTGGGGAGGCCCCCTGCTCTGAGCCCCCTCCTCCCGTGGCCCCGCCCTGGGGAGGGCCCCCTGCTCTGAGCCCCCCCCCACCATGGCCCCGCCCTGGGGAGGCCCCCTGCTCTGAGCCCCTCCCCACCATGGCCCGGCCCTGGGGAGGCCCCCTGCTCTGAGCCCCCTCCTCCCGTGGCCCCGCCCTGGGGAGGCCCCCTGCTCTGAGCCCCCCCCCACCATGGCCCCGCCCTGGGGAGGGCCCCTGCTCTGAGCCCCCTCCCCACCATGGCCCCGCCCTGGGGAGGGCCCCTGCTCTGAGCCCCCTCCTCCCGTGGCCCCGCCCTGGGGAGGCCCCCTGCTCTGAGCCCTGCACACCTCCTTGTGGCCCCGCCTGGGGATGGGCTCCATGCTCTGACGCTCCCCCCGCAACAACAGGTGATGCTCCAGCTGGAGAAGAAGCTCTTTGACTACTTCAACCAGGAGGTTTTCCGGGACGACAACGGCACTGCGGTGAGTGCTGACCCCGGGCCTCCCCTCACCTCTGGCTGGGCCCTGACTGGTGTGCCTCCTGCCTCTGGATAGGCTGCAGCCACCTGCTTCACTGTCTTTGACAGTCAGCATGGCCCTTGGCACTGGGGAACCCCCCGGTGAGAGGCAGAGGGCTGACAGCTTTGGATGCAGACCCTCTGTTCAGGGCCCACCCACTGAGGCCTGGGCTTCCTTTGGAAAGAGGAGAGACCATCTTGAGAATTTGAGGGGCATCCCGTGCCACCAACACCCGTGTGTGTGTGTGTGTGTGTGTGTGTGTGTGTGGTGAAGCTATACCGCAGTCCCCATTTTTAGCTCCCAATTACCCCACCAAGACCACTGTGACCTCTCAGGGACGTCCTTATCCCAGAGGCCGGAGCCGTGCTGGGATTCAGGCCCCATCTGTCCCTCCGCCCCGGCTCAGGCCTCCGTGCTCCGGGCACCCTGGGCGGCCGGGCCACCTGCGGGGTCTGGGCACCACCTCTGCATTGCGTCTCCTCAGGCCCCGTGGGGGCTCCGCGCCTCCCCAAGCAGGGTCCACCATCTGCAGGTGCCCACAGGAGGGCACGTCTGTCTGGGTGGGGGCTGTCCAGCTGTCTGGCAGACCCTGCCGGTCTCGAGCCCCTGCACAGAGCCCCCCACCCTGCCTGCCTGCCTGCCCTCCCCTGGGAAACCCCTGTCACCAGCCGGGACCCTCATCTCTCCTGTCCGTTGGCTTTGGGGCCTGGACTCTCCACCACCTGAGTCTAACCCCACCCCCGGCCCCCACCCCTCCTCCCGGCCTCCTTCCTGCACCCCAGCCCCTCCGTCCCCTCCCAGCCTGGAGGTCAGCCAGGCCCAGTCACACGGCCACCCCCTCAGGCCCAGGTTTGAGCCCGCCTCCGCCGCCGCATGGTGCACCCCGGTCCCAGGCACTCCCGAGCCGCCTCTGCCGTTTCCACCCGCCTGGTATCCTTGGACACTCGGCCCACGGCCCGTGCACAGCTGGCTCCTTGGGGACCCTCAGGTCGCGGGCAGGTGGGCTCCTCCTGTGTCCCACAGCGTCGGGGATGAACAGAGGGAAGGCGCCCCTGGGCCCAGAGCCCCCGCTGGCCTCCCTTACTGCCTGGGAAGCGTATCACCACCTGGAAACAACAGACACCACCTTAGATGTAATTTTTATTTCCGTATTAATTTACTCTGTGAAACTGCTCTTTCAATGTGGAGGAAAATTAATTTGAATATCTGGGAGAAGTTTGAGTCTGCCCCTCAGATGAAAGGACGTGGTGGAGTTGAAGCAGAGATGAGGCCTCCCCGAGGGTTTCCGGGGGGCCCTGGGCCCCCTGGTCGGGTCAGGAAGCTCGGGGGTGGAGGCCTCATGCCTCCCAGTGAAGGGCTGGCTCCACGGTAACCGCGGCCCCCTGCAGGAGGCAGGCGTGCAGACCCCCAGGGCCTCGGACAAGCGCTCACCTTCAGGGTGAGACGCCCACCAGGATGGATGTGCAGCTCAGCTGTGGTCCCGGGTCCATCGCATCCTTGATCAACCACTGGTCTTGTTCCCGCCTGACAGAAATTTAATTCAAGCTGGCTCTGAAAATAATTATTGTATTTTAAGAGTAGTAATCATTGGCCGGGACATGATTGAATGTGTCCATGCCTATTGACTTTTTCTATGATTTATAGCTTTGTTTAGTCGATATTCCCATCAAAATTGTATAATTAATTATAAGTGTGGCTGTCAGGGTGGCAGGATGGAGTGCCCTGGTGAGGATTTGGAGAGATTAAATTCTCCACGGCTGTCCCAGGGCAGGCGCGGGAGTGTTCCCGGCGCTCGGCCTGTTGGATAGAGATGTTTGCTGTGTGTGTAGCACCTGCTCCGGCTCCGCCGCATCGATTTTCCGGCCTCTTCCCTTCATCAGCGCCGCAGAGGAAGGCGCACGGCCGGACGGCGCCTGACAGATACGGCCGGCCAGCCGACCGCTTCATCATTGTCCACACACGCCCCGCGCTGATCCTCACTTTGTAATCAAGAAGAATGTTTAAGATACATGTGAAATTGGTTATCAGGCTGTGAAAAATCTCAAAGAGATACAGATTACCATTTCAACAGAAATGCAGCATCATTCCTGAAACGGTGTGCTGGCCTCCCGCGGAGGCGAGGCAGGGAGCCCCGAAGACCGCAGGGACACCGCAAGCAGGAAGCCCTCCACGGAAGCTAGAATCCAAGAGGTCGGACCACGGAGTGCTTGATAAAAATTCTGAGACTATAAAGCAAACAGGAAAGAATCGGAAACATAAACACCATACGCTGAGAAATCCAGGCAGATGAAGACACATAAGCGGCTCTCGCAGCAGACAGGGACGGAAGAGTCTGCCCGGGGGAGCGGAGTGTCCGGACAGACGGAGCGCCGGGCATGGCGCTCGTGCGGCCAGTCGCGGGTGGGACACGGGAGGGACGCTTGGAGCTGGCGGGGGTGGAAGGTGCGGTCCTCAAGAGCTCGGGGCGTCCGGAGCAGGACACCAAATGCCAAGACTGAGAGCAACCCCAGCGCCAGACCCCCCTCCCCCCAACGGAAGGACGCTGGCGGTGGGCCTCTGGGGGCAATGAGCCAAAGATGCTGGCGGGCTCCGCGGGGGTCAGGGCCGTCCTCCTCCTGAGCTGAGAAGGCCAAGCATTCACGCTTGGGAGGCTGTGGATGACATGCTTGCCACCGCCCTGTGGGGGTGCATCCTGCGCCACGCACACGTGTGTGCAAACCTGTGTAAACTCAGAGCTGGTCCCAGCCCCATGTGCATGATTCGCCCTCCCTGCAGGCTTCTTCCCCAGCCCAGGCACCCTGAGACACCGACTCCGGAACCTTCCAGGAGCTGTTTGGCCCCGGTTGCTCCCTGGTGGTGGGGGCCGGAGGCTGCTTGCGCCTGGGAGCTGAGAGGCCCTGGCCCTGTGCCCCCACCCCCGCACAGCCCCCGCCCTGTGCCTCTCCTGCCCCCAAACCCTCTCTGCACCCCACTTCTGGCCCTGCACCCCTAGGCCCCCAGCAGGGCCATGATGGGTGCTGAGTGGGGCGAGGCTTTCCACCGGTGCCTCTTAGCAGCAGACGTGGGCTCACGGTGGCAGCCATGGACCCAGCCTCCAGCCTCACCAGGCAGGGTCAGTGCTTGGTGGCCACTGGGATCAGGCAGCTGTGTCTGAAGCATCCTGTTTGTGCAGAAGGAGCCTCGGTCCCCTCCCCAACCCCCATAATCACCCCAGGAGCTCCTGCCGGGAGGTGTTCGGCCTGCTTCCCTCTGACCCACCCGAGGGGAGTGGCCCGGCTGAGGGCTGGCTTGCTGCCCGCGGACTCGGTAGGTGGCTCAGGTCGACCCAGGCTCCCAGGGTTGCTGGGCACATGGCCTGCGGATTGCAGGGCTAAGGCGCGGGAGGAGAGGGGACCGTGTGGCCTCGGGCCTGTGGGATGCCATGCTCCCACGCGCTGCCGAGGGCGTAAGAGGTGACCACGTGCCCAGGGCGCGTGTGGCTGCAGGCCCTGCCTACTGGAGGTGCAGCGCCCGTGGGTGTGGCTCTGAGGAGCCCGTCAGGCCAGTCCCAGCTGTGGTCCTCCCGGCGAGGCCCGTGCGCGAGAGTTTGGCTCCACTGGGGCAGAACAGCATCCCCACTGCTGGACTTGGCCTTCGGGTGAGGGCACCTCAGAGCGACTCCAGCGCGGCCGTGGCTGCGCACTGCGCGCTCAGTGGGGCGAGGCGGCCCCAGCTGCTCGGCGCTGGGCCTCACCCCGGGGCCTGCAGGACCGTCCGGCCACACGCCTAGGCAGCCCTCACTCACGGCCCGGGTGGTGTGCAGGGCAGGTGCCGGGGTCGGAAGTCACGGCGTCCCTGCCCAGGCTGCCCGGTGCCCCCAGGGACGCAAGCCCAAGCGACCCTTGTCTTCTTTCTTTTCCTCAGCTCTTAGAATTCGACAAAGAGCTGTCTGTGTTTAAGGACAGACTGTATGAACTGGACATCTCGTTCCCTCCCAGGTAAGGACCGTCCACTCGCTGGCATGCAGGTAACCTCCCTTCCACGCTTCCGTGCCCCCCATGCCTCCTCCCGCCCCCTCCCAGCCTGGAGAGGGTGGCAGGGGCCTGCTCTCCTGGGTGCCGACACGGCCTCCCAGAGGAGCCTACGAGGGGCCGCTGAGGCAGCTCCAAGCTCTGGATCTTTCTGGGGCCGTTGGGACGCAGGTGTTGGTTCTGTCGTTCTCGGGTAGGTGAGCTTTTGTGGTGTTTTATTCTGGTGTCTATAGAATCTTGAAATCCGCAACAGTAGCAGCCTGCTCCTCCCTGGCCTGCCCGGGGCTGCAGAGGGGCAGGGTGGGGGTGTGGGGAAAGAGCCGGTTACGAAATGGCCCAGGACGCTTGGCCCGCTCAGCCACCCCAGGCCCATCTGGAGGACACGGACGCCCCCCACGGCTGCTCCCCCCGTCTCTGTCCTTTTATAGATGCCAAGTGGGAATTCTTACCCCTTGGGAGAAAATGGGCCTTGGGCAGGTTCAGGGAATCTTCCTCAGGGAGCAGGGCTGCTGGGAGTTGCTGCGGGTGGGGCTGAGAGTACCGTCTGCCCCCACCAAGTCTGTGCCGGGCCTCGAGGGAGGTAAACACGGCAGATCCGCGTCACAGGTCCTCCCGGACTCCCCGTGAAGCTCAGCCTCCTTCCCGAGTCTCAGTCCAGACGTCAGACGTCCACTGGACCCAGGACTCCCTGTGAGTCCAGACTGGCTGAGATGGCGGGGCACCTGCCGCTCACCGTCGGCGCTCCGATGCCCGGGAGCCAGTGACTCAGCAGCTGTGACCGAGCAGGCGGCCTCAGCCGCGTGTCCAGGAGCTGCCCCGCCGCATCGTCCCCGGGCTGTAACGCTACTGAAACGACTAAGTGTGTGGTGACACATGCCGCCAAGGCCCGCTGGAAGCCATGGCCGTCCTGAGGGACTGGTTTCCCCTGCTGTCCGGGGGTGGTGCAGGGGCCCCAGGCGTCTCTCCCACTTGATCAGGGTGCACATGGGCTGCGGCCTGGCCAGGAGGAGGACCTGCGGGCGTCCGCGTCCTGAGCAGCCCTAGCAGGTGGCTGTCTGTGAGCTTCTCAAACCCCGCAGCCTGGACGCTCAGCCAGGCACAGAGCGCAGAAGGCATTGGGGGACAGACCCGCCAGAAGCCCCAGGACCTTGTGGTCCGCTCCGGTGGCCGAGGGATGAGTCCCCATCCCCCGGGCAGCAGAGAGGCATGTCAGGGCTGGGAGGGACCAGTTGGCCTGCACAGACCTCGGGGTTCAGCCAGGCCCCAGGGGTGGGCTCTGGGAAGGGGCGTGGCCCCCAGGAGGGGCGTGGCCTGGCCCGTGAGATCCTGTCGGATCATTGGGGGTGGGGATGCTCTGGTGCCACGTGGGAGGAACTCCCACACGGGAGGGCGGTGCCCAGGCTGTGGGCACCCAGAGATCACCTGCCCTCTGGGTCTCACCTGCCTCAGGCCTGACGGCCTCATGTGGCAGGAAAACAGCCTGAGACGTCCTGCCCTCGTCCTGGAACCATGGACGTCCTGTGACCTGGCCAGCGTGTTAGGGCCGTGCCAGCTCTCCAAGGACGGTGTCCCCTCCCTGCAAGCATGTCTCGGCCAGAGACCTTTCTCTGGCTGGAGGTGGGGCCGCCCCCTGAGGGGAGGTGGTCTGGGAGGGACAGGGGGCAGGGGCCACTGGGAGGGCCATCGGTCAAGGGGTCAGACTTTCTCCGTTTAACTGGGAAGTAACATTTCAGGTTCTCTAAGGTGGGAAAGGTCACGGTTTACAGATTAAGACGTGGGCTCCCTGAGCTGAGGGTCCCCGCTCACAGCCCCTGACCTCCCAGCCTGCATGCAAGGACCGAGTCTTCAAGGCAGGGCCACCCACCCCCCACCACCCCACAGGTCATCAACCCCTCCCTCACTTCCCAGGTCACGGCCCCTCCCCCACTGCCCGGGTCACCCACCCCTCCCCCACTGCCCAGGTCATTCCCCCTTCCCCACCACCTTATCATCCCCTCCCCGACTACCCACCTTCCCTCCTCCAGTGCCTGGGTCACACCCATCCCCTCCATTTTGTTCCCTCATGTTTAAAACCATGTTCCTGACTATTGGGTGGCACTCACAGCCCCATGTCTGGAGAGCTGTCCCAACACTGGGAACGTGTCAGCAGAAGCAGCTGCGGGGACGTGGTTAGATTAGAAACGGTGGCCACTTGGTACCCAGATGTGTTCTCTGACTACCAGAAAATAAGTGATCCCAGGAGAGCTGCCTGTGTGTGTGCAGGCGTGAGCTCCCGTGCACACGAGTGTAGGATGTGTGCACAGAGGATCGTGCATGGGTGTATTCACTGTGTACACTATGTCAGCAAGCATGTGTGCCTGATGTGGCCCTGCATGGGTGTGAGTGCATGTGTGTGCAGTATGTACTTGTGTGGGTGTGTGTGCAGGATATATGTGGCCGGGTTATAGACTAATCGCATGTCTTTGTGCAGTGCACAGGTCTGCATGTGTGTATATGGTATCCATAGTGCACGGGCGTGGGTGTGCACAGGTGTGAGTATATGTACATGGTGTGGATGTACATGTGTGTATGCAGACATGGTTACACAGGCACAGGTGTGGATATGTGGGTATGTGTGCAGGGGTGTATGCAGCGTGTCTTATGGGTGTGGGGTGTGGGGTGTGGGTTGTGTATGTACATGTGCATGTGTACGTGTATACATGGGCCTGTGTGTGGTATATGCATGTGAATACATGAGTGTGTACAGGTGTGCATTGCATAGGTGTGGGTGTGTGTGTGCATGAGCTCCGTGTGCACATGTACATGGTATACTCACATATGACCAGGCAGGTATTGGCATGTGTGTAGATTTTTATGTGGGGTGTGTGAATGATGTGTTCATGAGTTTTTGTGCATGTGGTACAAAACTCATGTCTGTATGTGTATAAATGTGTGTTTCCTGGGTGTATGCATTCCCTGGGAGTGTTACCTGGGTGTATGGCTAGGGTGCGTACCTGGGTGAGTGTGTTGCCGGGCGTCTATCTGGTGAATGTGTGCCTGGATGGGTGTGTACCTGGGTGGGTGTGTACCTGTGTACGTGTGTACCTGGGTGGGTGTGTACCTGGGTATGTGTGTACCCGGGTGAGTGTGTTGCCTGGGCGTGTATCTGGTGAATGTGTGCCTGGGTGGGTGTGTACCTGGGTGCGTGTGTACCTGGGTGGGTGTGTACCTGGGTACGTGTGTACCTGGGTGAGTGTGTTGCCTGGGCATGTATCTGGTGAATGTGTACCTGGGTGCGTGTGTACCTGGGTGGATGTGTACCTGGGTGGATGTGTACCTGGGTGGGTATGTACCTGGGTATGTGTGTACCTGGGTGAGTGTGTTGCCTGGGCGTGTATCTGGTGAATGTTTGCCTGGGTGGGTGTGTACCTGGGTGGGTGTGTACCTGGGTGAGTGTGTTGCCTGGGCATGTACCTGGGTGGGTGTGTACCTGGGTGGGTGTGTACCTGGGTACATGTGTACCTGGGTGAGTGTGTTGCCTGGGCATGTATCTGGTGAATGTGTGCCTGGGTAGGTGTGTACCTGGGTGGGTGTGTACCTGGGTGAGTGTGTTGCCTGGGCGTGTACCTGGGTGGGTGTGTTCCTGGGTGAGTGTGTACCTGGGTGCGTGTGTACCTGGGTGCGTGTGTTCCTGGGTGGGTGTGTACCTGGGTGGGTGTGTTCCTGGGTGGGTATGTACCTGGGTACATGTGTACCTGGGTGAGTGTGTTGCCTGGGCATGTATCTGGTGAATGTGTGCCTGGGTACATGTGTGCCTGGGTGGGTGTGTTCCTGGGTGCGTGTGTACCTGGGTGCGTGTGTTCCTGGGTGCGTGTGTACCTGGTGCGTGTGTTCCTGGGTGCGTGTGTTCCTGGGTGCGTGTGTTCCTGGGTGCGTGTATACCTGGGTGCGTGTGTTCCTGGGTGCGTGTGTACCTGGGTGGGTGTGTTCCTGGGTGCGTGTGTTCCTGGGTGCGTGTGTTCCTGGGTGCGTGTGTACCTGGGTGCGTGTGTTCCTGGGTGCGTGTGTTCCTGGGTGCGTGTGTACCTGGGTGCGTGTGTTCCTGGGTGCGTGTGTTCCTGGGTGCGTGTGTACCTGGTGGGTGTGTACCTGGGTGCGTGTGTACCTGGGTGCGTGTGTTCCTGGGTGCGTGTGTTCCTGGGTGCGTGTGTTCCTGGGTGCGTGTGTACCTGGGTGGGTGTGTTCCTGGGTGGGTGTGTACCTGGGTGCGTGTGTTCCTGGGTGGGTGTGTTCCTGGGTGCGTGTGTTCCTGGGTGCGTGTGTACCTGGGTGCGTGTGTTCCTGGGTGCGTGTGTTCTTGGGTGCGTGTGTTCCTGGGTGCGTGTGTACCTGGGTGCGTGTGTTCCTGGGTGCGTGTGTTCCTGGGTGGGTGTGTACCTGGGTGCGTGTGTTCCTGGGTGCGTGTGTACCTGGGTGCGTGTGTTCTTGGGTGCGTGTGTTCCTGGGTGCGTGTGTACCTGGGTGCGTGTGTTCCTGGGTGCGTGTGTACCTGGTGGGTGTGCTGCCAGGTGTGTAGGGATGTCCTCGGGCACATCTGCCAGCGCAGGGCGTCCTGGGCCTGGGCTCTACCATGCTGCCCTCTGTGGTTAAAAGGCAGAACCTCCTGGCTCTGTTGGTTCTGTTGTGGCTGAACCCTGGGGGATCTGTCCAGAAGCAGCACTGGCCACGGAGGGAGACCACGTCTTGGTTTGCCCACGTGGCCTCAGTCACAGAGAAGAGCCACGCCAGCTCCTCTCCACACTCCCCAGGCCGCATCATCCTCATGACTGCTCTGTGAAAACAGTCCTTCCTCCCGCTTCGGCCAGGTGGTCAGGACAGAGGCTCTTGGGCTCCAGGGCTGCGGGCTCTCGGCGTTTGTGGAGACAGCCTGTGCTCCACTGGCTGCCCAGCTTCGGCATCTCCTGGGGGCAGGGGCTGGTGGACAGTGTCCGCCTGAGAGACAGTGGCCACCTGAGGGCATCCAGCCTGTCAACCAGGGAATCATGCACCGTGAGCACTGCTGGTGCCAGCAGGCAGGAGCTGCTGTGACAGCAGGGGTACTGGATGGCATTCTCTGGCTGGCACACCTGGTTTTCAGCGCCTCTACCTCTGCCTTCATCATCCCAGCAGTGAGCACACTCCACATCGCACTGGCATTGGCTTGCAAACAAGGATCAACGTGTGAGTGAGATAGCCTAGCGAGCTCTCCCACCAAGGCGCGGCAGCAGCTTCCCGTGACATGGAAGGCTCTCCTTGCCCCCACGCAGCCCTGCCCTGACCCCTGCCCTCGGGACAGCCCCTTCCAAACCTCCCTTCCCTGAGGTCTGAGGGTCCCACCTTCCACGTGCTCCCCACTCCTCCCACCGACTCCTAAACCGGGTCTCACATGCTCAAGATCCAGTCCAGGAATCATTCCCATGGCTTTGCCTGTGCGGTGTGGGGAGGGGCCCTGCCAGCACCGTGACAACAGCAGGTAGCATGTCTGTGTAGCCACGAGCACAGAGATTACCGTCCAGCCCCCAACAGGGTCTTGGGCCCCTGGGGGTCCACCCATCACAGCCAAGAACTCCCCAAACCTAAAGTAACCAAAATGCCTCCAACAGTGGATAGATGTTTGCTGCTGAAACGGGTCTGGGAGCAAACAGGAAGCAGGGTCCCGGGCAGCTGGCTGTGGTCAGACGCCCGGGCTGGGAGTGGGCTGCTGAGCCCCATGCGTGGGGCTCTGCCCAGGAGTGTGCCTCGGGGCGACTGTGACCAACACACTGGGCAGACGCACACGTCCTGGCTCCGCCCAGGCAGAGTGTCTAACTCTCCACAGGGACTCATCCCTTCCCAAGTATGGACGAGTGCTCCACGTGGGGAGATGCTTTTACAGGGCAAATTATTACGGAAAAAGCTCCAGGGTTCACTTTTGTGAAAAACAAAAACGCATTTAACACAGGGACAGCATGCATCGCGCAGATGAGGGCCGCAGGGGCTGCCTCCCTGCAGCGGACAGGTCCACCTTTGTGTTAAAGGTTAGGGAGTGCTTCTTGGACTCCTCCATGGTCCCTAATTCAGAGTCGGACCATGTGTAGGTTCTTGTCTGTAATGATAAATATAAAATGGTGATTGAGGGCAGGAGAAGGGGACGACAGAGGATCAGATGGTTGGACGGCATCACTGACTCAATGGACATGGGTTTGGGTGGACTCCGGGAGTTGGTGATGGACAGGGAGGCCTGGTGTGCTGCGGTTCATGGGGTCACAAAGAGTCAGACATGACTGAATGACTGAACTGAACTGAAAACGGTGATATTTGACCAAGAAGGCTGTGTGCCTGGCCTGGTGCTTAGGAGGGGACCAGGACATTTGTCCAGCTGGTCCAGGCCTCCCACACACGGGGGCACAGGACACGTGCTGAGGGCAAAGGAACGGGTCAGCCAGCCGTCCATAGACATCCTGCAGGTTTGTGCTTTAGGCTGCGTCCAGAAGCAAAGCCAAGTTGAGAAGACGAGCCGTGTACCTGGGGGGATTTATCTGAATGCTGGGAGGGACAGTGTGGGACTCGGTTCTGGAAGCTTCTGTCGCCTCTCTGTCCCCCGGACAGGCTGGGCCTTTCTGAGGTGCGGGCTGCGGGGCCTCCCCCGCGTGGAGGGGCTGGAGGGGAGCCGGCGGGCGGCTGCTGACCGCGCCTGTCCTGTATTCCCCAGCTACCCATACAGCGAGGACTGCAGCCAGGGCCGGCAGTACATGAACACCCGCTGCCCCGCCTGGTGTGACCGCGTCCTCATGTCCCCGTCCGCCAAGGAGCTGATCCTCAGGGTGAGTGAGGCCTGGAGGGCCGCTGGCGGGGCGGGCTGGCTGGGGGGGCGGGCCCGGCCTGGGGGCTCCCTCCTGCCGCCGGCTGGGATGCAGCCCAGGTTCTGGGGTCAGAACAGCGTAAACGGGAGTCAGGAGCCGTTGCAGTTTATTGCGTGCTCGGAGAAGTCAATGGGCTCTTGTCCTCGAAAGAGCTCCTGAGCTGTGAAGTCGTCCTGTTTCCTTAAGTTGTAAATCTGAGCTGAGTCACAGGAATGCCGGGGACTGGAGGCTGCGTGCAGTGCGGGGCGGGGGCTCCAGTCCCTGTAGCCTCTCCATTCCTGGGGTTTTCAGTGCCCGCGTTTAACACAAAAGGACTGCTCTCAAGAATCAATATCTGCACTGGTTTTGTCAACCCCATCAGTGAAAAAATACCATAATGAAGTGCATTGATTCATGAGGGCAGCAGTCCTGCCTCTGAGTGACGTGGCAGCCAGTCAGGATGGGGCGGGTGGCCCCTTGACCTCAACCCAGGACGTCCGGGGCTCTGGTCAGCCTACATGGCCCCCACGGTTGCTCTGAGGAGTCCTGTCTGCCCCCGGGGCCCAGAGCCTCATCCAGAGACACAGCCAGGAGGGCAGAGCTTCTGGGACCAGCCAGGTGCACGGCGACCCCCACCAGCGGCCCGGTGGCCCCCCCACGGAAGATCTTGCTGGCCTTTCCGGGGCGGGCAGCCCTGGACACCCTGCTGTGAGCCAGCTCCTGGGGAGAGACCTCCTGAACTGGGCTGGGTGCACGGAGGCTGCATTGAGTGCGCCGTGACAGGGCCTGGGGGCTGGCTGGACAGCTGGCGGGCAGGCCTCCAGAGCCCAGCACGGAGGACAGGCCGTGGGCCCTCCCACGAGCAGCCTTCATGACGTAAGCCGCAAGGGACAGATGGGCCCTGACCACACAGACCTTGCACGCCGGTGTGGCCTCAGACTCAGCCCCGCGCCCCCTGCCGGGCCTGCCCCCAGGACTCCATGATGGGCCGAAAGGAAGCAGAGTGGACAGTGGACATGGTGGGCCACATCTGCCGGCTCTGAGCGCACTGGGCCAGCGGAGCCCCGAGCTGCGGCCAGAGCCGGCTCATCGGGGCAGAGAGGAGGTGAGGGTCGTCTTCCAAGGAAAAGGCATCTTGCGGTGAAGCCGCCAGGACAGCCGGAGCGCCTGGTGTCGGGAGGCACCCAGGGCTGCAGAGTCCAGGGGGGCAGGCGGCAGACGGCCACCTGCGAGTGGCCTCGTCCCCGCCCTCGGGCCGGAGGTTTGGTGCTGCAGACTCGTGGGGACGGAGCCTGGCTGGGTGGCCCATCGTGGAGAGGGCCCAGAGCCTTCCTGGCCAGGGGGTCCCCGGCGGGCCCTCCCCTGGGGGCTCCCATGGTGGCGGGCGTCACCGGCCCAGCAGCCGCCTCGCCGCGGCTTCCGCGGCGTCATCCATCATGCCACGCTCGGGCAGCTCAGCGTCATGTCGGTTCTGCTTCCTGCTCCGAACTCGGAGGGGGCGGCCGCCGTGATGGATGCGCAGGGAGGTGTGAGGAGCCCGCTGTGATCTGTTTATCTGTCTCACGATTATACACTTGGAAATCCACAATTTTATGCTGCCTTTGTAAATTACCACGCTGCATTTGATGAATGCTTCCCACTCCAGGGAGGCGCTGTGGCCGCCACGGGTGTGCAGGGGGTCTGTTGTCGCAGTTCCTGGCAGGCGACCATGCTGGAAAGTAAAGCTGACCTTACGCTTCCTACTGCATTAAGGATAATTCAGTTTATGGTCTCAGAGGCTTCAGCCGCAGCTGTGAAAAGCCCTGCCCAGCTGGAGCCGGGACTGACCACCAGCAGCACGTCCTGGGCGGCGCCCGCAGGCTGGAGGCGGGGAGGCCTGAGCGCACAGCCCTGTGCGTTCAGGGGCATCTGTTCTCCTGTGAACACGGAGTTCTGGGTCAAAAACAAATGCCAAGGGGGAAAACGGAGACCAGGTGGGACTCTTTGGTGCCAGGAACACACCTGGGAGAGCTCCCATCTGCCCTGATGGCCATGAGCAGAGGCCACGCCAGCCCAAGGGAGCGTTGCCTCCAGCCCCCAAGGAAGGTTGCCGCCCTCCCGAGGCCGGAGCCCTCCCACCCTGCGAGCAGGGGCTGAGTGCTGCCTCCGGCCGCTCCTTCCTGGGGGCCAGCGGCTCACTGGCGGTTCTGAGCTGGCTGGAGCTCCAGGGAGGAGTGGGCAGGGTGGCAGAGGGTGGCACAGCCGCTGCTGCCCAAGAAGCCCCCCCGTTTCTGCCTCCCACATCTCTAACTCTGTTTGCTTTTCCCAGTCGGAGAGCGAGGAGAAGGTCGTCACCTATGACCACATCGGGCCCAACGTCTGCATGGGAGACCACAAGGTGACTGACCGGTGTGGGGTGGGGGGGGCGGGGCTGTCGGGTGCTTCTCCTGACCCCCTTCTCTGCCTCCTGGTCCGGCTTCACAGACGTGTCCACGTCTGCCTGTGTTTGATTTTAATAGAGCGCCAGCAGGTACGTAGGGGGTGGTGAGGCAGGTAGATAGGAAGGCAGGTCACAGCAGAACGAGACGGGGTTCGTGTCTGCCAGAGGACCGTGTCCGCCAGAGGACCGTGTCCCCTGGTCCCTCTGGAGGTGTTTCCGAGCCTGCACCCAAGCATCTTACTGGCCTCCACCCCTGCCGCCTGGGTGGGGGGAGATGTCCGTGTCACCGCCCAGCTTCAGGGAACCGCCCAGTGTTCGGGGACCAACCTTGGACGTGTGACTCTGCCCGGCCCCCAGCCTGCAGCCCCTCTGAGGGGCGTGGGGCCACGGGTTCTGTGTCCCCGGCGGCCCGGGAGAGACGGTCACCGCTTCCCCTTCTCAGGCCGGCCGCCCACGTGATCCCCGGCCAGGCTCCGTCCTTCCCTGTGTTCTTGGGGCCTGAATCATGGCTCTGAGATGAGCTTTTACACCAGTCTCTATGTGGAAGTAATGCCGTCTCTGTGGAGCACGAAGGCCCTCTGCCTCCCGCCTCGGGTCGCCCAGGGCCAGCTCCCCAGGACAGGGTCCGGCGCTGGGCCCGCTGGCCGTGGACGGTCGGCCCTGACAGCCTCTCTTCTCCCCCGCAGCCCGTGTTCCTGGCCTTCCGCATCGCGCCCGGGGCAGGTAAACCTCACGCACGTGTGCACAAGTGTTGTGTGGTGCAGTGACGTGGTGGTAAATATGCCTCCTTCCCTCGAGTTCACCTTTCTGAGCTTTTCCCGGTGTGTGTGCCTCTGTAACCAATGCCTGATTCCATGGCAGGGAGGCGATGCCAGCGCCTCGAGGGGACCCCCGGCGAGACCCCCCCGTAGCACCAGGGCCCACGTCCTCCGACAGCTGCGTCCAGACCCTACCGAGCGCCACCGCCAGACGGCCGGCCCCACACTCTGCTTCAGCCCCGGACGGCGCTCCGGACAAGCCTCACATACCTCACTGTCGTGTCTGTCCATGCGGCATCAAGTAGAAACATTGGGTTTTTTTTTTTTAACGAGTCACAGTCCTGTTGCCAAAACTCTAATAGACAGCAAAAAGATCTGTATTTTAGATGTCACGGTTTTCGATTTTTAATCATTGTCAGCGCGGAGGAGCTTCTCGAGCGCAGAAACCCCGCGGGGCTGAGTCACCCTGCGGCGGGGGCTGAGCGGGCCGGCCAAGCTCCACACCGGGGGCACGTGGCCCCCGCTTTCACTCTGGAGGCCCCTCCCCGTTAGTCACTCTAATGCCATGTTACATGGTTTCTGAATCACACTGCAGCTGCTTTCCATTTTTATATATATAAATATATATAAATATATACTTTTTAAAAATAATTTATAAACCTTACCAAAACTTACGCTAAATATACTTTCCAGTATGAATGCTTGAGTGTCATATCAGCAGTAGAACTGAGTCTGGGAGCCGGTCACCTGCACGCCCACACACGGCTGTCAAGCCGGGACTGCGCCCGGCTGCGCAGTGGGGCTCGGACAGCCCGAGGCGCTCACGCCAGCAGTCAGACTCCTAGGCCTCCTTCTGTGTAATATCAAGAACTGAATGTGAAGTTTATAGCTAGCTCGGGTGTACCTTTCAAGAATTTTGTAAACCGTTTTGTCCGTCTTTTGTTACTGTTCTATGGTGCCAAGTATTCTACATAAAACAATAATATCATGGGAGAAATAAAACTAGCCTAGTCTGCTTCCGATAGAAACCGCTTTTAACATGGGCTGTATATAAACTATTAAGAGAAACAAACCGTACGCGTCCCCAGTTGCCTCGCTGCCCGGGGCCCGCCGTGACCCTGCCGCACGTCCCTGCCCCCGACACCCGGCCCAGCGGTCAGAGGTGGTGCCCGGCCCGAGGAGGAAACACAAATGACGTTTATTGATCTGCTTTAACACTACAGAACTCCGGGGCTGGGTGCAGGCGCCGGGGTGCGGGGGGATGCTTGCTTTAGGTGAATCACTACCGTCGCAAGCGGTTTGGCGTCCACCGGCCGAGTCTGCATCCTCGACAGAATGACCGGGGTGTGTGTCAGGCTGTGGTTACTCTGTCCACGTGCCGCGCGGCCATTCCGGCCCACGGTGATTTCTGTGTAGCAGGGTTTCAGCTGTTGGTCACTCTGGAGGCCTTTGGAAATGACCGCTCTGGTCCCTAAGCAATAAAATTGATTTTGGTGAAAGCAACGTTTGATTGTGTTTCCTCCTCTGGCGCTCAGGGTCCTTTGCAGGCTGCAGTCCAGGTCACCTCGTCCACGACCCAGGCCCCATGTCCTTTTGGATTCTGTCACAGAGCTGAGCCGTGGTGGGGAAAAGAAAGAATGTCTTTTGGAATGTTTACTGCATACGTACCTACTGGGATTTACCCCTCAGCATTTTTTAAATGAAATTAGATAAATGCATTGCTTTCCTCAAAACTTTAAAACTGGAAATTCCTTTGCTCTTAACTTGGAGCTGAAAGAATAGTTTTTATGCACATAAAATTTTTTAAAAGTTCTCTCTTAAAAAGAAAACCAGTTAGTGGAAAGCATCTGTTTTTAAAATTGGTGCAGTTGTGTGGAAAAAAAAAACTCAGCCTTTTACTCTTTTAACATTTCCAGTAATGACTTCCAAGATAAATATTACAGTAATATAACCCTTTATATTTAACTTTTAAAATTAACACCACAGTCATGCCTATGAAGCTGCAACCATGGGGAGCATCCAGTCTGGGGGTGGGGGGGATTCTCCCGTGAACCAGAGAGATCCAGGCTATTCACCAGAATCCTTGCCTCTGAGGTGGGGGGTGAAGAGCTTCCCTGCCTCTCCACGGTGGGGCCTGGGGATCTGGCCAGTGGGGACACCCTGGGGTGCAAGCTGAGCTGCCCGGGAGCGGGATGGAGCTCAAGGGGCTGCCAGACATGCTTCCACTGCAAACCCCAGGGCCCCCAGAGAACTACGAGCTGCTGGCAGAATTACTTTGGGCTTCTCTTTGTAGTCCTTTGAATTAAATCTCACTTTCTACCCATAAAATATCTTTGTAGTCCTTTGAATTAAGTCACACTTTCTACCCATAAAAAATCTAAATAATAGCAGCAGATCAGCTATGGTGCTGATGAGTTTAAAACCTGATTTATTTCACTCAATGTTGAGTTTAGCGCGACTTCCGAAGTCTGCAGCTACTAAGGCTGGATGGGTTGAATCTACATAATCAGACCAGAGCAGGTGGGCAGGAGCCGGGGCCCAGAGGCACCTTCACCGACCCCCCACCCACCGAAAGCTACCACCCAGGGTGGGGCCAGCACCCGGAATGTGTTTAAACCTGCCCAAACTTCATCCATCGGAGCCGCAAAAGGAGGGCCCTAGCCCTGGGGTGGCCGGAGTGGCTCGGGGAACAAGAGGCCCTACCTGCTCCCTGCTCCGCCCCGCGCCGTCCGCTCTGCTCCTGCCCGCGGAGTCCAGCTCCTCGCAGCTCCCGGCCCGGGAGCCCTTTCCCTCGGCGGGCGGTCCGAGGGTCCGCGGGGCCGGGCCGCCTTCCCCGCGCCGGTCCTCTCGGCGCCCTCGCTTCTGCGAGCTGCTGCCGCCCGGGCGCCCGGAACGCGGGACCCCCGGCCTCCGTCGGGCCCGCTACCGAGCCCGGCCCGCGCAAGCCCCAGGTGCCCTTCAAGCCGAAGGCGCGGGCCCCGCGGGCCTGGACACTGGACAGCGGCCCGGCACGGTGTCCCCGGCAGGAGCGGAGGCCGGGCCGCCGCCTCGCCCGCGGCTTTCCGAATGGGAAGAAACAGGCGAAGGGCCTACGGAGTCGCGGCTCCGACGGGGACGTGTTAAATAATTTATTGATTATACAAAGTGATTCCACCAGGGACGCGCGGCGCCGGCGGCCCCGATGCAGAGCCTGAGCCGGGCCGCCGTATAACTTACTCTGTAAAAATATATATACACACTGCGGCGCGGGCGGCTGGCGAGGGCGCCGGCCCGCGTCCGTACCCTGGTTGTCCGGCCCGGCCCCGCGCCCTCACGAGGCGGCCCCCGCGCCGCCGCCGCACGGGCTGACCAGCGCCAAGTTCGGCGCTCTGTGCTTCTTGAGCAGCCGCGTGATCTTCTCGTCGTCCGAGTTGGGGTCCAGGGGCCTGTTGTACTCGTCGTCGCCGTCCTCCGCGTCTGAGCCGCCCGCCTTCAGCTTCTCAGCGTCCGAGTCCTGCTTCTTCTTGGCCGACGCCATCTCCGCCGCGTGCCGCTTGCGCCACTTGGTCCGGCGGTTCTGGAACCACACCTGGGGTGGAGGGCGCCCATCACGCGGGGTCCCCCGGAGCACCCGCCGGCGGCAGCTCGGCCCTTCGGCGGCCTGGGCCAGCCGCTGGCGCCCGCGCGGACGCCAAGGCCTGCCCCAGGCTGCCCCTCCGCTCCGGCCCCGGCCGCGGCACGGCCGCTCGCGCGCCTTTCGCAGGACGCGGGGGAGCGAGCGGGCTGCGGCTAAGCGAGCCCCGCGCGACGCCGCCTCACCTTGACCTGGCTCTCAGTCATGCCCAGGGAGTAGGCGAGGCGCGCGCGCTCAGGCCCCGCCAGGTACTTCGTCTGCTCGAAAGTCTTCTCCAGCGCGAAGATCTGCTGGCCCGAGAAGGTCGGCCGCGAGTGCTTCTTCTTGCCGTCCTTGTCCAGGACCCCGCCGGCCTGGGCTGCAGAGGGGGCTCGGTGAGTGCGGCCAGCGGTCCTGCCCGCGCCCTCGCCCGCCCCACGCCGAGCCCGCGCGCGGGCCACTTACCCGGGCCGGTCAGGCGGGGATCCCTCCAGGGCGAGCCCTGCACCACTCCGGGCCAAAAGATGGGCGGGCGCCCGGGAAGCTCGGCCAGGGGCTTGGGATAGCCGCGCGCCACGGCGGCCGCGGGCCCGAAGTAGACGCCAGCTGACGAGGCCAGCCCGTTGAGCCGGGGCAAGCCGCCCAGGAGGCCGCCGCCCGCCGCGCCCACCGGCCGCCCCAGGATGTCGCTGATGCCGTGAGGGGTGCCAAGGGGCAGCTGCGCGCCCAGGCCGCCCAGCGCGGGCGCCTTGAAGCCGGCCGGGCCCTGCAACGCATATGGGAACAGCGACGTCTTCATCTCGGCCATGTTGTGCAGCGCGGCCAGCGGGGCGCTGCTCAGCACGAACGCGCCCGGGCGGTTAGCGTCCATGGGCGCCGCCGCCGCCGGCCCGGGCGCCCATCCGGGCCCCGCCGCCGCCGCCGCCGCCGCCCGCCGGCCCGGGAAGTTTGCGCGCGGCCCGGGCGGGCGCCGGGCGAGGGCGCCGACGGCGCGGAGGGCGGGCTCGAGGGCGGGTGGCGGCTCCGGCGCAGGGCTGGCGGCGGCGGGGAAAGCTCCGGGAGGCGGCGGCGGCGGCGGCGGCGGCGGCGGCAGCCCCGGGGCCGGTCGGAGCGGCGCCGCGCGGGCCGGACGCGCTGATAACCGCGGGGCCCTGGCGCGGCGCGAGCGCTGATTGGCTGTGGGCGCCCGCGGCCCGGCCATTGGCCAGCGCCCGCCGTCCGCGCGCCCCCGCCGCTCACTCCATGAAGCGCCCATTAGCGCGGCGGGTCCCTCCCGGGCCGTAAATTTGTCCCCTGATTTATCTCCCCGGGGACGAAATAAATCCCGTTGGATGGGAGTTTAGTTAGGCAAAGGTTTTAATGGGAAATCAGGAAAAAAATACGAGAGCATATTTTATCACCGAGAGAATGCAGATTTGAGGATCCACTCGGCACACGCGGTGCGCCCTGTTCGGAGCAGAGGCGCCGGTGGGAGGGCGCGGGGAGCCGGCAGACACTCCCGGGGTCACGGTCCCAGGTTTGAGGGAGGACCGAGAACGTTTCCGAGAACCTCCTGCTCCGGGATGCAGAGGGCGCGAGAAGCGGGACGTCAGCGCCCACGGGCCGAAGGTTAGACTTGGCCCGCGAGAATCCGCTCTGTTTCCCAACCCAGTGGCTGGCGCCTCGGCGAGGCCTGCCCCGGGCCTCCGGGTAGCGTGTGGTGTGTATGGGGACCGGGTCCCCGTCCACTCCCAGCCCGCGGGGCCGTACTCGGCCGGGCTGGGATATTTCCCGGTCGTGCGGTCGCACTCACTCCTGGGAGGCAGCCTGAACCCGGAGCTCGGGCCTGGACGCCGCGCGGGACCTTACGTGCAGCCGCTACCTCGCAAAGCGCGGCCGGAGCCTGGGGTCGGGGACCTTGGCAGACAGCCCGAGTCACGGGTCGTATGGGGCCGCGGGCAGAAGCGCGGCCTTTTGACGGGCACGCCGGGCGCGCGGTGTCGTCCTCGGGGTGAGCACTTCTCCCACCCCGTAGATGGTTGTGCGGATTCAAATACGATCGCAGTAAACTGCGAGCGCCGGCGGAGAGTAGGCGCCGAGTACAATCGTGGACGTTGCCTCCTTGGTTCTCTTGGGTGGTGTCACATATTACGTGACAGTTACTATTATTCACTGCCCGTTAGGAACGTGACGGGAACGCGTACCAACTGAAGGCCGCTGTTTCGTGTCCGGGGCTGGCGGGGGACGCAGGTAGGGAGCGGTGTCTGCCAGCCGACCTCTCTCGGGCCTGGTGCAGGCGGTTAGCAACGACTTTCCCGTTTCACCCGGGCCGCCAGGATTTCGGTGGCGCAGACGAGAGCAGCCCTCTCGGCTCTGGGCGGGGACCCTGCGTCCCCTGGTACCGAGATCTCCAGGGGTCTATTTTCGTTTTGTGCAGTTTACGGTGTGGTGCGGCAAGTCCCTACGCCAGATCGCCTCTAAGAAAGCCACTTGCCGCCGGGGATGGGCGGGCATTAGGTGGCCTCCATTGCCCGCGTGTGCGCGCACCGTGCAGTCCCGGGAGGCGCGCCACCGCGCGTGATACCGGCCGGCTTCGTGTGCGGTGCAGCCAGCGCGCAAGGGAGCGTCTCTCTTCCCGCTTGCTTGGCCGGGCCGCACTCGCGGGATCCGGGTGAGGCTGCCCCGCAGGCGATCCGCACCAGCCAAGCCAGACCCCGGACACCGAGCTTCTCCGCGCTCACTATGGCGGCTGCGCCCTGAGATCCTCCCCGGGCCTGGCTTGCGCCCCTTACCTCGGGCACAGCGTTTGTGTGCCCCGAGAGCGCAGCCGCGGATCCTTTTCTGCCTGGTTTGGGCCCCTCTGGGCTCCTGGAAGGCGGCGGCCGGGCCTCCCAAGCCTCTGATCCGGGCGGGAGGTCAGGACTTGGGGGAGGGACCAGAGGGACTGGGGCGGGGCCACGTGAGGGGCGGGCCGGCTCCCTTTCCCGACTCTGCCCCGGGGAGCAGGTTCTGGATTGCTGCGGCCAAAGTCCTCTTGGCGGGCCAGGCGTGGCGTGCCCGGAGGGTCCACAGGGCGCATTATCCTCCCTGAGACCTTGGTTCGGTGGCAGGAGGAACACTGCCGCTCTGGGCGCCGCGCTCGGCTCCTCGAACCCCAGGCTGGGTCCTCTGCATCCTCCTTCCCTCTGAGGAAACAGTGCCGAGCCGCTGCCCTGCGCCACGGGGCCCTCCCTAGGCTGAGGCCGGAACGCTTGGGGTCGCGAGTGGGGCTGCATCGCCTGCGGCCGCAGCGCGCTTGGCTCTCCAGGGAGCTAGGTGCCGTGAGTGCGGAATGGGGGGCCGGAGTGCCGTTTGGAGGGGCGAGAGTTGGGGGCGCCCATAGGAGGGGTGAGGGCAGCTGCATCTCCATGCTGTCTGGCGGGGGGTGTCTCGGTGCCTTCTCCACGCGCCCTCTCCCGCCCCGCGCGCGGAGGTTCCCAAGCCCCAGACGCCCGCCCGCCTACCCTTCCGGACGCGGTGGCACGGGACAACCCCCACCACCACCGCCGACCCCAGCGCCCCAGTTCCAGGTGTGTAGGCTCAACCTGTTCCACCTGTCGGCCTGCCATCTCCGGGCACTCCGGGGCTCCGTGCCTCCGCCTGGCGCCCGGCCCCCGCCCCACCTTCTCCGGCGCTCCCGGGAGCCGCTCCCCGGGTAGGACCGAAGGAAACGCCTCCCCGCTCCGGGTCGGCCAAGGGAGGGAGGGTTCTGCGGGTAAGGAACGCCTCGGGTCCCGTTGCAGGAGCCGATTCGGCCAGAGCGGACGGGTCTGCCAATGCCCCCTCCTGGTACCGAAGGAGAAGCCCCGCCAAGGAAGGCGGCCGTGCGCCTCGCCTCGTTCTCATGTTGACATCGCGGGCACGCGCCGAACTCGCGGTTTGGCAGAGATCTTGACTTAGTCACGTTTATTTATCGGGTCATGCTCCGTGTCAGGCGCGCTCTGGGAGAGCCACGTAAACAGCGAGAGCCACCCTGCACCCCGGCGGGCACGACTGGTAGTGTTCAGTCGCCAAGTCGGCGGGCTCTCTGCGGCCCCATGGGCTGCAGCAGGCCAGGCTCCCCTGTCCTCTGGCTCCCGCAGCTGCTCAGATTCATGTCCACTGAGTGGGTGATGCCATCCAACCATCTCCTCCTCTGCCGCCCTCTTCAACAATAAACAAAAACCGGCAAGTCGCAGGAGAGGAACGGGACCAATGATAGCCGGGAAGAGGGAGGTCAGGGAAGGTGGCCCCTCAGGTGGGCCAGCCAGGACCAGCCGGTGTCCTAGCCCGGACTGGGCCGGAGCCTGGCCGGCGTGGGGCCGGGGAACGGAGGGGAGGAAGGGGGTGCGTCTCTGGAGGGAGCTTGGATCCCGTCTCCAACCACGCAGATAGCTCTGGAGTTGGCAAACCGATGAAGACTTGCCATTTTGACTGGTAAGCCGTGGAGCTGCCCCCTGCCCCGAGCGTGCCCCCTCGACGGCTTCCTGCAGAGAGCAAAGGGCCCTGGCTTTGTCCTCCCGCGTGGGATCGGTCCTCGACCTCGGGAGCGAGAGGAGGGGACCGCACCTGGGGGCGGAGTCAGGGGGCTGCTCACCAGGGGTTGGTGGGTCAAGAGAGCCAAGTGCCTGCCAGCTGGGGGCGTAGGGATGTCGGGGTGGATGCGTGGCCCCCGGGGCCCTGTAGCCGGAGAGGCCGCCTGATGGGCGCCGGTGCTGCTGCAGGGCCTCCCAGGTTCTGCAGACGCTGAAGGGAGCTGGGTGGGCGCAAACCCCACCACTCCCCGCAGACATCCCTGCCGGGAAAGACCGGACCCCTGCCTGTCCCGCTGGTGCCCTCGCCTGGCCGACCCCGGAAAGGCAGCTGGCGGAACCCCTGCCCGCTTCGCTCTGCTGACCCCCAGCGCCACCCGCAGGGTGACTGCCTGAAGGGTCACTGCGGGCTGAGGGTGCGCCTGGGCCGGGGGGGTGGGGGGGAGAGGGGCCGGGGGGCCTGAAGGGGTGACGGTGGCCACGAGAGGAGGCCCAGCGGGCCGCCAGCCTGACCTCACCCTCTCCCCTCTGCTTGAAGCCCAGTCCTGCCCCCCATAATCCGTTTGGGTCTAACCCCCATGAGATGACCAGTGAGCCTCAGACCCAGGCCCTCAGCGCCCCCCCCCCGACCCCCACACCGGCCCATTTTCTGCCGCCCTGCCCTCCACCACCCCCCAGACCACCGTCCGCGGGCTCTCCTGGTCCTGAGCCTCACTCTCTGCTCGGTCCGCTCTGAGCCCCTCCGCACTGATGCACCTGCCGTCAAGTCGGCACCCGGTTGCAAGGGCCCCTCATGCCTGAGGCACCCAGGGGGCTGAGTGCTGCAGGGTCAAGAAACGAACATGAACCCAGTTCCAGGCTTCAGAGGGTTTTCCCAAAGCCAGGGCTCCCCCAGAGAGATCCCTGTGCTCAGGTGTCAGACACCATGGGCGTGTGGGTGTCCCTGAACGGGACTTTCTGAGCCAAGCACCTTCCCTGGGAAGATGCTGGGAAGTCCCTGGGAGGCTGGGGCCCGTGGCGGGTGGGAGGGGCCCAGCAGGTCTCTAAAGGAAGCGGCAGAGACCCAGGAGCAGAGGTCGAGGGGCCCGGGCTTCCGCCCCTTCCCGGCAGGAGACGGCCTGGACAGGGGCCAGGGCTCCCGGACCTGCGGGGAGCTCCCACCCCTCCCCCGTGCGCAGCGAGGCTCCGGCTTCTCTGGGCTTGAAGCCCCGCCCCCAGCCAGGGACAGGTGGGAGCACCCCCCTGCAGAGCCCCTCCCCGCGCCCCAGCTCCCCTTCTCCAGCTCCTGTATTTTCAAAGTTATGCGTCTTGATACACGTAGGAACATCCCCAGAGCAGCGCACAGAACCACACTATTCCTTCCTGTCTGCAGACCCCCCGCCTCTCACCTTGCTGTGTGCGGGCCTCGCCTTCCTTCTCCTGAAAGAAGCACCCAGGTTGAGACTGTTCGCCCGCCCCACAGAAACGGGGCGGCTGTGACCACGTGGCCTCCCGGGACCTGCGGCTGTGCAGGGCCCCACGGCACTGAGTCATCTGACCTCACGACTCTGGGTCACTCCCTCCCTGGGGGCACATGGCCGCAGGCCTCTCGTGCCTGCTGGGAGGTGCCCACGTATGAACAGACGCCCACTCTCCGCTGACGTAGGCCCAGTTGCTTTCAGGCTCTTCTCAGGCAGCTTCTTAAGAGGGTGGCGTCTTGCAACCTCCTTGACAGCGCACGTGGGATCAACAGGGAAGCCTCATCTGCTTGGCAGGCCGGCCTCAGACTCTCGACCCCCCCGCACGTGGGCGGCGCTGGCCACACCCCGCCGCCCCGCCCACCACGGCTTCCTCCCTCCCCGGGGCCCCGCCCCCAGGTCGGCTACCCACCCCCTCACACTTTCCACGTGAACGTCCAACAGGCACCGAGGCTGGGTTGCCTCCTCTTTTCCAAGGTCCTGCAAGGTTCTTGGTCCAGGACAGGCTCCGACCCACCAGGGGCCCAGGCTGCAAAGAGCTCGAGTGAAGGACTGGCTGGATGAACGCCTCACCGGTCGAGAGCATCGGGGGTTCGGGGGGAACCGCCCATGTGGGCCTGGACCAGGCCAAAGGCATGGACGAACCTGCCGCTCAACCTCTCCCCCTCTGCCTCCAGGCCCGCAGGCCCCCCAGCTCCCAGCACCTTTCTGGGGTTGCCATTTTGCTCCGCTTTCTGCTTCTGGGTGGTGCTCGGCTCTTGGTTGGAGATCTGTGGCCCCCAGTGCCTCGCAGCCGCATCCACGCTGGGCCGGGGGCGGGTGGGGGTGGAACTCCAGCCTCCAAGAGTGCGGCTCCCACTCCCTCCATGGAGGGGGCCCATCTGGGGCACGCACCCCGAATGTTCTGACATGAGCTGGAAATCACTCCCCACCCTATGCCAGGCAAAGGGGCCCCGAGGAGGAGGTGCAGCCGTGTGGTGCCTCAGAAGCGCTCTTCAGGGTCCCAGGACTCGCGTCTCCTTCAGGGAAGGACAAAGACAGCGCGGCTGTAAATCAGCCCCAAGCTCATCCCAGGCCCCCCGCCCCGGACCCCCGCACCAGACGCGAAGTCTCGTAATGATCTCTCTCCGGGGGCTGCTCTCCGGGGGGGTCTGACTGCGTGCCAAGTGTGCTAATTGGGCGCCGAGCGCAAGATTTGTGTTAGGGCATCGGCTCCAGCCTGTTTGCTGTGCTCCCAGACTGGCTCGGACAGCGCTGGCCAAGTGGATGCTTCCGGAAGGGCGTCTGGCTGCGCTCCAGGCTGCTCTGGAGCTCGTGGGGGCTTGCTGGCGGGTGAGGGTCCAGCTGTGCTGTGACCAGCGCCGCCTCCACCCCTGGGCCCCCGCCGCTGCCGTTTGTTCTATCCGCCGCCCGCGGGGTCTGGCGCTCAGGCGGGAGCGTGCATGTATCCCGAGGTCTTTATTAAAATGCCTCTTGGGGTAGAGGTGGCAGACAGAAGGCCAGTTAACGACCAAGCCCAACAAACGCAGATTGGCGTTATTGACAGGGTGACCCCGGCACCGTCACTGAGGGGGCCCAGCGGCTACCTGGGGGAGGGCCTGCTTCCGGGAGACCCGTGGAGGGGGCGGAAGCTGGGGCAGGGCAGCCCCAAGGACCATCCCAGAAGGCGGGGGTCATCTCCAGGGAGGAGCTGCCCCTGATGGGAAACTATTCGCCCTTTTAAAGGGTCACTGGGTGGCTGGCTGGACCACGAGGGGTTTCAGGTAAGCACGCTGAGGGGGCGGCAGGCAGGGGTCCCTGGTCTACGGAAAGCCTCTCCCACTGGCCCGCAGGTCAGGGCTGGCGTTGGCCACAGCCTGGCACCTCTCCTCTAGGCTCCTAAACGGAAACAGCCAGGCTCCAAACAGTCCCCCTGACTTTGAGGAATGTGTGAGAAAAAGCGAACCCCATGCCTCCTGCAATGCCTGGGGGCTTCCGACCCCCAGCCCAGGCTGCCCACTGCCTGGCCACCCCCCGTCTGGGAAATGGGTCTCGCAGGGCTGGGGAGACAGTGAGCTGGGCCCAGAGGCTAGTCTGGCTCAAGCCCCCCAAGGGCTTCAAAACTGTGCAGCTGCCAGGCCACCAAACCCCTCTGCCACGGGGTAGGGGTGTGGGCACCCCCAGCGGCTGGTGGCCCATGACATCAGTACGAAGTTTGGTCTGTGGGACCCTGTGAGCTTGCGTTTCACGGCCTGGTTGCCTTGTCCTACAAAGGGACAAGAGGTTGTGCCTAATTTAATTCACCTCAGGAAGTTAATCCACCCTCCCGGCCAGAGTTCCTCCTGCCTGGCCCGTGGGGGTCCCGGGCACACAGGGGGTGTCCCAGGCACAAAGGTTGTCCTGGGCTCATGGGGGAGGGGGTCCGAAGCACACAGGGGGAGTCCTGGGCACACAGGGGGTCCCAGACGCGTGGCAGGTGTCCTGGGCACATGTGGGTCCTGGCCCCAGGCACATGGAGGGGTCCTGTGCATAAAGGAGGGTGCTAGGCTCACGGTGTGCAGGCTGGGTGCTCCCTGGGCCCCGTGGGCTCCAGCCATGGTGGAGACTGACTGAAGGCAGTTTGGATCCTGGTTCTGCTGTCAAGGCATCCTTGCCCGCCTCAGGCCAGGGCGGCATTCTTCACATCTTTGGACAAATGACAGTTGACAAAGACCTGAGTGGAAAGCAATTTTGTCTCAAACAGAACGTTTCTTATGGTCATGAGGGTGACAGACACCAGTCGTGAAACGCTGAACTGATGAAGAAAGGAGCCGTCTGCCGCGGCTCAGCGCCCACTCCACAGCGTGACCAGCCTCCTTTCTGCTTCACTCTCCTGCACGACCGACCACAGCCTGAGCACCTGTGGGGCCAGCACTGCCCCAGTCCCCGGGGGCACGACACCTAAGCACCAAGCGGATGAAAGACGCCACCCATGGGCGGTCTCTCTGTGTAAGACCCCCACCCAGAACTGACACACACTCTCCAGTCCAGGCCCCTCTGTGTCCCGGCACCCACATGGCGCCACAGGGCAGGACCCAAGATCTCGAGCGGCTCTGTGGGTGTGCCACAGTCTGTATGCCAGCGCCTTAGGTTTCCCCAAGTTCCCACCTTTAGCGATTGTCCCGGGAGGGCCGCGGGCACATGTGCAGAACCTGAGCCCCTGAGCAGATCTGGAGGTTCTCAAGTTCATCCTGTGTGACTCACCTCAAGTTCAGCTGTGGTTCCAGCAGGGCCGCTGGTCTTCCGTTCCCTGACACGCTGTGTCCTGCCTCCCTTCTCACCTGCTTTTCTGCTTGCTTGGTCTTCCTCTGGCCAGGACACAATATGGAGACACAGGGGCTCCTCCAGGGAGACCTGCGAGGTCCTGGTGAGGAAGGTGGGCACGTCCCTGCCAACAGGCAGTCTGTGAGTGACCTACAGACGTGTGTGGTCAGACAGTAAGACCTCTGAGGTCGGAATCAAAGCCACAGCTGATAACAGTGGAAGCTACAAGCTGTTCTGAAGACAAACCTGGCACCAAAATCCTTAAGAGTTAAAAAGTGACAGAAATGCACAAAGAAGCAAAAAGAAACCAAATTGTGGTCGTGAACCTTAACTCACCCTCCTAATCCATGAAGGCCCGAGTCAGATGCGGGGACTGGAGGGCTGAATGATCAATGCTGGGATCTAGTAAATATATTGAACTCTTTGTTCTGAAAACAGAGACACGACTAAGTTACGGGAGCAACCGCACATTATCCACGAAGCAGATATCAGTAGTTTCACCGAAGTAAACAGACTGCTGTATCCTGGGTGAACAATAACCTGGGGCTGGGCTGTGTGTGAAGTGTGACATCCACAAAAACACGCACGATGGGGGCAGCCGTCTCTGAGAGCTTTTCTAATATAATAGCACTTGGGGAAAATGTGCCATCATTTCATTAAATAGATTGTCATTTCATCGTTAAATATATGGACACTTACCCGGAGAAAAATCTCATAAGTAACCATGGCACCAAATGCTGCCCTGGGCAGGAGCCTGCGCGGGAGAGGAAGAGCCTTGTGAGAGGGGGAGGAGCCCGGGTAAGGGGTGTGGCCTGGGGAGACGGGAGAGGCTGGGGGAGGGGAGGAGCCTGGTGAGGAGGGGGAGGGACTTGGAGGAGGGGCGGGGCCTGCGGAGAAGCGGGAGGCATTTGGAGGAGGGGCGGAGCCTGTGGAGGAAGGGGAGGGACTTGGCGGAGGGGCGGGGCCTGCGGAGGAGGGAGAGGACGTGTGTTTCCTTCCTTCCTATTTGCAGTGTCCACTGCGTTTCCCCGTGTTTCCTGTGTACATGACTGCTTTTATTAACTCAAACATCAAAGGTCCACATCCTGGGAGCTGACTGGCCGTTGGTCAGGACGGATGAGGCCGGGCTGCGTCTGTATGAGCTCAAGGACTGTCTTCTCCCGCCCTGTTGACTGCGGGTCTGTGAGCAAAACTAGCGACACGGGAAGAGGAAGCTGGAGCCCCAGGGGTGGCCGCGTGGTACGGTCAGTGGGCGAGGTGGTTCTGGCCGTGGGGTGCCCGTGACATGCGGGCGCTCTGGGAAAGCCCCCCCGACTGGACCCAGGGGCCCCAGGCTCATGCAGGAGGAGCCTCTCCGCTCTTGGCTGGGGCCTCCTGAGTATCCACTGCAGACTCCACCCCGCTACCCCCACGCGGGACATTCACCGCGAGGCCTGCCTGCGGTCCGCGGAGCGTGCCAGGGCTTGGGGCTGGTCCTGCAGCAGGATAGCCTCCTTGGTTACCGCTTGTGCCGGGAGAGGCTGGGGGGACCTGCCGGCCAGCGGCAGAGCTCCAGCCCGCGGTGGGGGGGTGCCATGTGAGCGGCTATGAGCCTCCTCCAGGGGATTGCAGACTCGGCTAGAGGGGCAGGCTGAAGGCCACGAGGGGCGGGCATGGGAGCACCCTGGCCCTGGGCTGCGGGGCAAGAAGGCTGCAAGGGGGCAGGACGGGGGGTGCGTGGGAGGCGGACAGCCCCCCTTGATCTGGCCCCTCCATGCCCTGCCTGGGGCAGCTCTGATCAGGACCAGGCTGCTGTTCTCCAGCTGATCGGAGCCCTGAGTCTGGGCAAGGTCGTTTGTTTTTATCTTAATGTCTCACTGCATATCCAAACTGGCTCCGGTTCCAGCAAGTCAGGGGACGATTTGTAGCTTTATAATACTGGCCCTGCAGCTGGGACACCTGGGTGGTCAGGGGACTCAGATGCTGAGCCGAGAGCCCTGGGGCTTGGAGGCCATGGCCAGGCCAGCAGAATGTGGTTCAGGCTGCAGACAAATCTTCTTCGCCGTTTTACTTAAACCCTGAGATTTTGGCCCTAAGGATGATGTCTGCACTCAGTTTTCAGGAAAATCCAAACTAGCCTATTGTGAACGGCTGGAGGGCCGATAGGCAGCCAGGGTGGGAGCCTTTGGAGGGCAGCCTGCTCCAGGATGCCAGCCCTCAGCAGACGGCCACACATGTGGCCACACCTGGCTCTCTGTCCTCACTTGTCCCCATCACCTGTCACTGTCCCATCACTCCCGGGGTCAGGGGTCAGGTGTGAAGACTTCCACCACTACCGAAGTCCACACGGACGTCACCCTGACACGGTTCCCGGCTGCAGCTGCGGAGGTCAGACACGTCCCCTCCCCAGGCTTGTCCCCCTCCACACCCTGCCCCCACTGCCTGCCTGGGGACTCTGTCCCCTTGTCCCAGCCCCCGCCCAGAGCCTGTCCCACAGCCGGGCCTATCCAGCACAGCTGCCCCCCTGAGAGGCCTGCGCCGCCCTGGGAGGGGCTTTGCTGGCCCAGCAGACCCCTGGAGGCGGCCCGCCAGGATCCTCTGGACGGCAGTCACCCCACCTCCACATCCAGTGTTCTCCATCAGATATTATGCACGACTTAAATGGCTCAGCTGGTGAAGAATCTGCCTGCAATGTGGGAGACCTGGGTTCAATCCCTGGGTTGGGAAGATCCCCTGGAGAAGCACATGGCAACTCACTCTAGTATTCTGGCCTGGAGAATTCCTTGGACTGTATAGTCCATAGGGCCGCAAAGAATTGGACATGACTGAGCGACTTTCACTTTCACTTAAATGTAACAGTAAACCAAAAGTCTTCTGTAGAACATCCACTTGGCTCTGTGGAGGACAGACACCTAGGCCCCCCAAGACCACCTCACCAGATGCTCCAGCAGAGTCCCTGGGGGGTCCCTGCCTGCCGGCTCTATACCTGGCCTCCGAGTCATGAGATACATGAAAAGTTGGTCGACTCACTGGTCAAGGAAGTTCCACCCAAACTGCCCCCGAGACGCTGGCCCCAGCAGCTCTGAGTCTGGGGGCTCTGGCCACAGCTTCTTCCAGGGACGGTTCTGAGCCTGAGAGCCAAGCAACCTGTCAGAGCATGTTTCCCGGGTGCGGGAGTCCCAGGGCCCAGACCGGAAGGCCCCTGGTCCCCCCGGACTGTTTGCCCCCAGAACCCCTGTCCCAGAGCCTGACTCAGAGCAGGTGCCCAGAAGAACAGGGAGGGTGTGTGGGTGCCCCGATCCCAGGGCGCTGGGCCGAGGAGGCTTCACCTCATTGTCCTGGGGCCGCCTCTCACCGTGTGTCAGAGAATTAAAATCTGTAATAAGAGAATTTAAGAGCTCCCCATCAGCTCCTTCCCGGCCACCAGCCAACAGCACGGGGTGTTAATCTAGTCATCTGCCTCTGGTCTCAATGAATTGTGATAAAAACGTCAAACAATTAGATTATCCTGGCCGTCAGCGCCCTTGATTGAGTGGCGAGGCAGGGCGCGTCCCTTGAATCACCCTGACAAAGGGGCTGCTCGCTGCAGGGCGTCCCCCGGCCCCTCCGATTCCACGTGGGGGCCTGGTCTATCCAAGGCCAACACGGGTCCCAGGAGCAGGGCGATCTCTCAGGAGACCCCCATCTGGGCATGGGGGCCCACGGGGCGGGGGCCAGACTGATGCTGGGGGAGGGGAGGAGCAGGCAGGCCCCTCTCCTCCTGGACAACCCCCGGGAAGCGAAGGTCACGGGCCCCTCCCAGAGCCCCAGAAAGGCTGCCCATGGAGAAGCCCCCGGTCCGGGGAGGACCCCGCAGTTGGGCCGCCGCCCGGAGGGAGTTTGCAACAGCCGCCCCCCAGGAACCAAGCCGCCTTCTTCTTTGTAAGGGCAGAGACGAGCTGAAAATTGATTTCTCTGTTGGAAATGGGATAATGAAACTGGTTGTTTCTATCTCCATCATCGTCATAATAAAATGAGAGGACGTGAAGTAATATTGTATGTCTTAATGCAAGGGAGCATTAATTGAATACAAATGGCCTTTCTTGAAGTTGCTGGGTTATATTTCAGACATATGGGATAATGATGCCAGTTAATCATTTTTACAAGATATAAAATTACTGGCTCCTCCAGGAAGATCATTAAGGAAAACAATTGTTCACAGCAATTGAAAATAGAGTTTTAATTATTTAATACAGAAATTAAACTATTAGAGACCAGTGTTGAATGAGGGAACTTAATAGAAATTTATATACAAGTGTCTGTGAACATTTTAGCTTTATTAACCCACCGAATTTCTTAATCCTGTTCAACCCAGAAGGACTGTTTGAGCTGTGAGAGGGAATTAATTGCTGGAGAGGAAGATGGGCCAAGGCGCCGGAGGCCCCAGGGGACAGGGGACCTGGCTGGAACCGTAGGCCTGCCCCCTGGAGGGGACCAAGGCAGGTGCCCTGACTCAGGAGGCCAAGCTCAGCGCCAGGACAGACAGAGGGCGGGTCTCCCTCGAGGCAAAGGCAGGGGCCACGTCCTGGGAGACGGACCTTGGTCTGCCTGGTGATGCTGTTCTGTGGGATGCTGTTCTGTGGGATGCTGTTCTGTGGGATTCCATGAGCAGAAGGGTGCTGCCGGGGGCGGGGGGGTGGGGGGAGTTGGGACCGCCCCTGGGGCAGATCATAGGAACACGAACCCCTGCCCGGGCTGGCCCAGCCCTACAGCCCACAGACCCCCAGCGATGAGGGGACCCTGGGCTCCTCACCCATTCAGAGACCCTCCCCAACCCACTGACCCTTATTCTGGGGCACTGGAACTATCATGTTTGCAGGCAGCATGTCTGAGGGTAGGAAGGCTTTGAGCAAGATTCTGACTAACATCTCAAAATGACAAGGCCTTTACCAACTGTGAAAACACCAGGAGCTCGCTGTGCGAAAACAGGAAATCTGAGTGCTTTTCTCCCTTTAATTCCCCCCTAAATTTCTTATAATAAAGCATACTGCTGAAAGAAACTCCATATTTTAAAAATATGGAAACCACTGTTTCCAAGACGTAAATTCAGAAAGCAAGTTGAACTTTGAAGCGGGTGATTGACCAGCAGAAACCGACTGGTCCCATCCCTGGCTGCTGCGAGCCCCTGCCGCCGCACCCCCCGCCCCGTCCTGGGTGCCGCACTGTCCGGGAGCGGCCGGGGCCCCTGAACGACCAGCTCAAGGTCGGGGAGCCTGTCTGGACTCTGGAGCTCAGCCTGGCCCTGAGCCAACTGCTGCTCAGGAAGGGGGAGGCTGGGTGGGGGCAGGACTGGGGTCTCCAGGCAACGCTGTCCCTTCCCCTGTGCCGGGGCACCCCATCACCCACCTGCGTCCTTTCTGGAACACTCACAACTTGCAGGCCTGGCCGCCCTTTCTCAAAGGGCCGTGCACCGTTGGAATTACATTGTCTCCTATTATTACCAATAAATTCCAAGTGATCTTTTCTCTCCTTATAGTTTTTAGGGTTACATAAATTTCACCTACGCGGTTTGTCGTGCTTGAATATATTACAGAATGCCACTTGTGTTACAGCAGCTAATTGATACTGTGATTTGTCATGTTGCCGGGACATAACTCAGAGGGCGACTGAAGGCTCGGCTACATGGAACGGCACTCACATTTCTCACAGGAGAGACACGGCTCCAGGTGAAAAATGCGACGCTGCGCGGATGAAGTATTTCCAGAAGCTTTTATCCTTGTTGTCTGGGAGGGTGCCAGCATCTTTCTAGAGGGAAGCTCGTATTTCCAATGCTGCTCCATTTGAATTTATTCCCTGATCATTAGTTAGCGCTTTTTTAAAAAAGAGGAAAAAAAAAAAAACCTGGAACAAATATGTGTGTATATGTTTGAAGAAAAGAAAAAAATCAAACACAAAAGAAGGGAATCATCACCTCAGTATAATCAAAGATGAGCTCTTAAAAAACTTATGGTGAATTAATCATAGATTCACAGGAAGTTGTGGAAACAGCACGGGCAAACCAGGGGCCCAGGCTTGTGCTGCGATCGGGTGTGGGCCTGGGTCTGCCGCCGTCACCTCGACAGGGGGTGCGTCTGTGTAGTGTGTGTCCGTGTCTGGGTTTCTGTGTGTGTGTGTGTGTGTGTGTGTGTGTGCCTGTGACTGTGTGTGTCTGTGTGTGTTGGTGTGTGTGTGCACATCTGTGTGGCCAGGGCGCCGTGCAGTGCTCTCCTGTGTGTAGATCTGTGGCCCGGTCACAGCCCAGGCGCAGACTCCGGCTTCGCCCCAGGGCTTCCGTGGCTGTGTCCTCCTCTCGGCTGCTCCGCGCTCCGAGGACGCTGTCTGAACAGCACCACAGAGACTGGCCTTGTAGGCGCTGGCTTCTCTGCTCAACGCGATGCTCTTGAGGCCCAGTCCAGTCATGGGT